TCCTTGAATATCAGCAAGAGGTGCTCACGTTTTCTATATAGGACGCTGGGACCTACCTTATACGATAATTCAAATAAAAAATGTATAAAATTGGCGTAAAATCTTGTGCCCAGTAAATAATTACAAAACATGACGCAGCCCATTGTTTAAAGCAAAGTCCATTTTTAAACAATTCTGCCATTTTGTGAAAATAGACCCTATGATTTAATGGTCTCTCTGGTAAACTATATTCTCGACGATCTCAGAGATAGCATTTCCTTTTAAAATATGAATTTTGATAACTCTATTGATAGATCCCTTTATAAGTTTCATTCATACTTATCTTATCGCAAAATAATGTAAGGCAAGAGTTCTATCGCTATATGTTTTAGAAAAGTTTAGCATGAGAAAATAATTCTACATTGAAAGTATTACAAATCAATTTGAATAACTGATTATATTACCACATGATCATTTCCCTCACGTATTCGTAGTCATAATGAAGTGAAGAACTAGATTTTCTTCTCACTATGCAGTCGAATGTTAAAACCCGATGCGAGTATTTTGTGTAACTGATCATTCCGCTAGTGGAACAAGAAAGAATATACATCTTACTGGGTCTTTTTAGCATCATCGTGTGTGATAATGGATGCCCACAATACATGGATCAGTTTTCCGCTTTTATAATGATGTCCCGTATGCTGATATTCACATCACGATATCTGCTATTTCTTGGTCCGCAATTAATTTTCGAAAAGTCTAATTTACTATTCGGAAAAATAAAAATGTATGCATGCTGTTCAATGATGTACAGTCGCGTCGCAAAGTAACGCCCGATTTTCTAATGTAACAATATGCAATATTTTCACAAATAATTCTTTTTTTTTGTGTTTCTTTCACCCATTTATTTGTTTATGACTGTATGAATGTAATATAATGATTTGTATGACAGGATAATTGTCCAATCCGAACTGCAAAAAAGACCGCAAAATGGGTAGAGTCCAAAAAAAATAAAACGTTAGACTGGCCAGCAAATTCTCCCGACTTTATTGCCATAGAAAATATCTGAAATTGTTTAAGGATATTATCTTGAAAAAAAAAAAATTTCAAAAACTATAAATGAATTCAAGACTGCTTTGAATGAGGAGTGGTCAAAATTTGATGACTCAATTCTTCGTGGAATGAGTCCACAACCTTCCTAAGAATTGAACATAATATAGAAATAGAATAAACCATGTGCATATCAGAATTTTTATTTTAAAAAAAGTTGGGCGTTACTTTTCGACGCGACTGTACACCCACCCCGCATTATAAATTTCTTACTTATATTCCAGACAATGGGTGCACATAAGGATTGTCAATCCAAAATTCGGATAATAAAATTCCTTGGACAAAATTCATATCTCATGATCTATTTCATATAAGTCTCACAAGTTATCCATATTATGT